TTATCCATTACAACTAAAACAGTGAATAACTTCCTCTTTAGTATTCAAATAACTACTTTTTCTGAAGACTAAACATGAGACAGAACATGATTTCCTTTTCAAATTATGACAGATGATTACCACAAATTAATTTCCTTTAATTTCATTCTTAGGATTCATCTTGATGAATATTTATAGAGATTACAGTCCTTCCAGCATGTTCCATCAGTTGATATGAAATGGCTTCCCAAGTTGTCAACATTCCTCTTTGAATGTTGCACTTATGCTCTTTGCCATATCATTACTGTTTTGTTCCTGAGCACCATTTATAAACCATGTATAATCTTATAAACAGTCACATACATTTAAAAAAATAAGCAAATCAATACTTTTAAAAATCAAAAGCAGTAAAATCAAATCAGTATGGATGTAATGCTATAACATGGAAAGTGTTGAAAAAAATACTAGCATTGGTACAAAATCATAATTGCTGTGTATTTTGCAATTTACATAATCTCATTTTATCTGAAATAACCAAACTCTCATAAAACCATTACCACCTTGTGTGATACATATTTGTTTTTTGTGTGCCATGAATGATTCCCACCCCCCTCCCTTAAAATGAAGAAAAAGAAGAGGAAGAGGAAGATGACAAAGAAGAAAAAAAGATAAATAAAAAATAATACAATAACAAAACATGTGTACATACATACAAACAACTTCGTAATTCACTGACCAGCCAACTGAAGTTCAACATCATATATGTTTTTTTCTTTTGACTATATGTACTTTTATGAACAATTTCATACACATAACAAACTTCAAAGTTATACTTTTCCTGCTACTTATGTAATCTGACCAAAATAAAGGACATGGAGATTTCATTGTAAATTTCTGAAGGAAAAAAAGAAGCTAATGAGACTAATAGTCATATTTCTATCTAGCTGTAAAATTGTAAAATATTTTTTCTTAATTAGACAGACATTTTTGATAGACACCCATTTGTTGGCAATAGTGGATATGTGTAGAACACAGCTGAATGCATATGTGAAAGTGATTTCATCTAATATTTACATCAATAAATAAACATTTTGATCATATTAGACTCTAGTTCATAGCACTGGAAATAACTGTTACACTTAGATCTTCTTCAAAGGATACTTTCTTTTTTCCCCCTGTTGTCTGCTGCTTGCCATTTACCCACTACAATGAACTAGTTTTGGTAAGAATCTTTGTAATCTGTTTGTCAGTGTCCTGTGAACGTTCTATCTGTTTATGGTACTCATGAAAGCAAGGAACAATGCACAGGTTGGTTCGACACTCTGGGCAATGGTATTTTGTCTTTCGACGAAGAACTCTTCCTTGTGGGTCTGTAGAGTTCCAACAAAAGTTGCATCCTAGAGCAGGACCACCACGAAGGACGGGACAGTGACTTGCAATGGGGTCCCGAAGCTGTGCTCTTCTGCCCTATAGAGGTTGCATCCTAGAGCAGGACCACCACGAAGGACGGGACAGTGACCAGGAGAAGAAGCAGGTCTGAGTGGAGGTGTGGTTGTCACGGACAGCTGAGGTGTACTTAACATGCGATTTCCAGTACCAGAGTCTAGACCTGAATCTTGTGACACACTCTGTATTAAGACAGATGGTCCTGGAGCTAACTGCTCATGTGTGTGAGTCATTGACTGTCTAGACATAGCTGGTTCCTCACTCAGTGCTCTAATGGGTCGGGAAGGTCCAGTCACTGTACAACCACTCATATTAAAGCCACTACTACTAATATTTACATTGCCTCCGTCTTCTGAAGGTGTTAGACGTATCAAGGGTATTTCCTTCTTAGGAAGTGGTTCAGAAACAGCTGGGCCTTCACAAGGCTTCGGCTGAATTGGTCTCAGCTGTGATGGCATGGTCACTGGTGGGGCTCTTGGTTTCACAACTAAATGCATGGGAATTACCTGTAAGTGCTGCTGCTGTTGAGGTGCTGTACTGCTAGTGCTTGTGGTGGTAGTAGTACTTGGTAATCTTTCTGATGGTGATGGTGTGTGTGTCAATACACCTGGATGGGATCTCTGCTTAGACATCTGAGGGGGTCCTTGATGTGTTGGTGGACCTCGGGATTCTGGATGAGACAACTGTTTACTTATGATGGGTGTTGGGGTCAGAAGTGGTGTTGGATGTGAATGTTGTTTGGGTAGTGGCCCTGGTCCAATGGAATCTCTATGTCCCATTAACATAGTTGGCACCTGAAGGAGTGCTGGCTGATTACTTGACAATGTTACTGTTCCTGCAGAGACCACCACAGTATCTGGAATAATGAGTTCTGGCTCCTTTTCTGCTTCACCCTTTGCATCCTTTGTGTCACTCTTCCCAGACTCTTGTGGTGTTTGCTGTTGCTGAGGATGCTGTGACTGCTGAGAGTGTTGCTGCTGATGGGTAGCTTCTCGGTTTTCCTCCCTGCGCTCCTCACCTGCAGCATCACGGATAATGCCATGTTGTCGCTGTAGTACTCCGCGCTTCCCACGACCTGTGCAATAATAAATTTCGTAAGCACAGAATTGCACTTTAATAAACAGCCTATATAATAAATAAATAAATACATTCATGGCGAAGAAAAATTCTTGTGCAGTGTACTTCCTAGTACATCAGCTGTTGTTTTTCCTTAAATGTTCCTAATATCTCGCTGATAGTTTTCTATTCTTTCTATATTAAAACATCTGATGTAGTAGCAGGTATTCTTAATCAGAGAGTATCTAAACAAATGATAGATTTCATTATTCAAGAAATCTTTGATTTCAGTAATAGTTCTTTGATACGTTAAGAAAGCATATCTCTTAATCTGCCATCATTAACATTGCTTATTTTATGCTCTACCAGCCATGAGGTCATTAATGAGGACCAGTGACAGCTAAGTGTCAACTCTCATCTGAGGCTGATTCAATTTAAAACATATCAAACTTAGTCTTGTTGTGCCTGAGGCTGATGAAAAAAGGTGGTTGTTCTAGTTAAAATCTAGAAAATGGAAATTCATTTCTTATTACTTTCTGGTTTTGTAGTTTTAATTCACAATTTATTTTTTTGTCAATATAATTTGTTATTTTGTTAGGGGAATCCAAATTCTGAAAATGAGCAAGTTGTGTGGGATGGTGAGAAGGAAAAGAGCCTAGAATCTGTTTTTTGCTTGGCTTGTATTTGCAAACTGTGACATAAGTAACAATCTTCAACTTTACTGTAGAGGCCAGAATGTGGCATTATGTCTTATTTGATATATCAATGTTATTTTTACAGAAAAGCATAATACCTCTATTAATTTACAACTAAACAGTATCAAAACCTTTGTCTTTAGCCATGTCCACAGGTGCCTTTGCTGGCAAAGATTACTAAATCATACTCCCATAGTATGGTAGTGAAAAGGGAAAAGACGGGAGGAAATGAATTAGAGCAGAAATTAGTAAAAAGGGAAAGGTTGAAGTAGGGCAAATGAGTGAATCTGTGACTGAAAGAATAGGGAAATTGTTCAAGGAAACAGAAATGTCTGTTGGAGATTTAAGAGAAGAATCTGGTGGATGATAAAAGGGGACTGGGGAAGGTGAAATATCAAGAAGAGTGTCAGAAGGGGAAAGATCTGGAGAAAGACACTGTTGCATATCAGAGGTAGGGGTTGATATGGCTGGACATGGTAGGACATTCCACCACTATAAACTTCATGGGGGAAGTTATGCCTACGTAAAGCTAATCTTGGCAATATTGGTATGGGACTTACACTATCCTCTGGGAGGAATAGTGTAGCATTGTAATGCCACTGCATTATAATCAACAAGGCAAGCAATTAGGTTATTTTCAGTCTGACCAGTTCTTGTCATTGATAGGACAATCAGTCGGGTGAGAGAAACTGTTCTAGTAAAAGTAATTAGAGGGGTGAAGTTCTGTAGGAATGGGTTTACCAGTGAGGTCAGTTAGAACAACTGAGCGGCTGCGAAAGGAAACTTTGCCTACTTGTTTTTTGAGACATTGTTGAAAGAGAAGGGTATTCTCGGAGTAAGGGGTTGTAGGGGGAATCATAAAGAATCTATCCCACTTACTGCCTGGGAACTACAATTTTGGGTAATATTACTTAAATAGGGCCCCATGCAGACACAGTGTTAAATCATATATACCATAGCCATCTGATTACAGTGTAGAATAATGTGTGTTTTTTGTGTACAAAGCTTAAATTGCCCTGTCTTGTTTCTTTCTCACCCATTTTTTTTCTAAATACTTCTACATTCCTAATTATCTTTTTATTTCTATAGAAGTGTATATATTTTGTAATGCACAACCTTATGGCTTGAAAACCAATAGAATTTATGGTAAACTCAGTCAACCAACACTGATACAGGTAGGGGGTGAATGTATTTCTCACATTCACTGGAAATAGAATTTAACATTGTTTATGTTATGTGTGCAGTATAATACATTATCAATGACAGCTATACAAACTGGTAAAGTAGAAAAATGCAGGCCTTATGTCATTTGATAATTCAGATTGGATTGAAAACAGAAATAAGTCTGAATAATATCAAATTGATAGGACAAACTCTTTGTGTCTTAAGAGGCTTGTGCACTTCACCCCTCTGAATATTTCTTGAAATTAACTCCATGACCAAGTGTGCATATATACGTACAATGTCTGCTGCGTTTTCATTTTATTATTATTAACTTCTTATAAAGATGGCTCCACAAATGCTTCATCAGCATGGAGTCAATTAGTTAGCTAATCTGACTTCACCCATTTACTTCATTCCTTGAATTCTTGCAAAGAAAATTTTCCTTTAATCATTTTTCTTCTAATAATGTTAAAAAATAATGATATTGATAATACTAGTGCTGTAACAATAATAATAGTATTAGAAATATTAATTTTTCCCCAAGAAACAGAATGGAATTAACTTGACTGTAAAACCATCTATGCCTAAAGAAACTTGACAAAACATAACTACAGTAGACAATGCTTGCATCTAACAGTAAATTCCTTTATGCCAACAATATGTTAAGTCATAGTATGGCTTTATGTATTTCTTTATCTCATACTTTGTGTTTCAAGCCAAATTCTTAGTGTATATGTCCTTTTGACTGTTAATGTCAGCAGAGTTGCAAATTGCTAAAAATCCTTTGCCTCTACAATATTCAGGTTCAGCAATAAAATGTTTTAATCCAGAACTTTAAAATTAAATATTCATAGATCTTCAAACATTTATCTTTTAAGTAATTTTCAATGTATGTACTGTGTAAATGTTCCCACTGAATTAGATACTGCTAAGAATGTGATCGAGACAGGGAAGTGATCCCTCATCTAATCTCTTTAATTGCAATTACAATCACTATGAAACTTGCCTGAGACTTTTATAGAACATCAGTTTGATTTTCTCAAGGATCCAACTTCAAATTACTGCTTCTCATGCCTTAATGTATGCGCAACTTTCAGCATCATTGTAAATTCAGCTTGAACTTCCTTAATCATATATCAACAAAATTACATAATGTGTGTTTCAGAAGTTCACTATTTTTATTTTCTGTTCTTAATATGCTTTTTTCCAAAGTCTCTCCTACTCACAAAAATAAGTTCCATGGTTATAAAGCATATTATATGTGCTAGACATCAAAGGTCATATGGCACTATATGTTGTAGCACTGAAAACAGCAAAGGGGGTGGGGGGGTGAGTAGATCAAATGTGCTATATATTAAAAGTTGTACAGCAGTATAGCATACTATGTTGGGAAGAAGTAGGAGGAAGTAGGAGGATGATGATTGTCACTTTGAATTTAGAAGGAATGGGAGCAGAGAGATTTGAGGATAAGTGAGCTATAATAATGGTTAATGGTTGAAACAAAAAAAAGACATCTACGGTCATATAGCACTATGGTAGAGTATTGTGGTAAAACGGGTAAACGGGTTAATAATTACTATAAAGTGTTAAATGTCAAAGGTTATAGTGTTCTAGAATAGTATGATAGGGAAAAGGGTAAAGTGGTGGGTGTAAATGATGGAAATTGGACATTAATAAAGGAAAGGGTTAAGGATATAGTGTGATTGGATGGAATGGGGTGTATCTGTTGTTGGGGGAGATATAGTAATATTGCTTTAAGGAAAACCTGGTAAAAGAGCTGTTATGAAATGATCAACGGGAAATACGAATAGAGCTGGCTGTTGGAGAAGTAGCAGGAGAAGAATCTGGGGGATGAGATATGGGGACTGGGGGAGGAGGTGAAGTATCAGGAAGAGCAGCAGGAGGGGAGGAATCTGGAGGAGGACACTGTTGTGACAAGGGATTCATGCAAGTATCTAGGTGGGAGAGGTAAGGATAAAGGATAATGGAAAATGAAAATGAAATGGTGTATATGGAGGAGAGTATGGGGTTTGTTGGAAAAAGGAGGAAGAGGGGTTGGGAGGAGGATGGATATTGGCAAATACTTTGAATGTAGAGCGATGAGAAATAAAGGGATTAGCGATGAGGGAGCATTTTCCTGGGTCATGTGAAGGAATTTTTGGATGTGTTCAAAAGTTTCTGGAGGGGATTTGGGTGAGGAGGTCTGAGAAACAAAGGATCTCTTGTGAGGAAGAGAAGAGGGGATTGACGCATGAGGAGCAGAGGAAAAGGAGGGTGTAGGAGAGGATGTGTTAGGAGAAGATGGAGTGGAACGTTTAGGTTGCCTGGTGCAACAAGTAAAGTGAGGAGGAGGAAGGGTAGGTATTGGAGAAGTAGTAGAGATTGGAGTATCTGGATTTAGAATAGAAAAGGGATTTGATTGAGGGATTGGGAGAGTATAGGGAGGATGGTTCAAGAAAAAGAGGAGAAATACTGAAATACATTTGATTGGTCAAGACCAGGTTGGGCACACAGAGGGCAGCAGGCTGTGGAGTGACAGTGTTTGGCTGGGGGGCCAAAATGCCAAAATTTCTCACACTGATGGGGAAGTGGTTGATATTGCTGGACATGATACGACAATTCACCAATATAAACTTTATGGGGGGAGGTCATGTCTACAAAAAATAATCTTGACAATATTGACATGTGACTTACGCTACCCTCTGGGAGGAATAGTGTGGCACTGTACTGCTAATGCATTATAATCAGCAAGGCAGGTAAGCAAGTAATTTTCACAATCTGACCAATTCTTGTCATATATGGGACAATCAGTCAGGGGGATAGAAAGATTTCCAGTATTAAGAAAGAGGTTCGGTTTGGCAGGAATGGGTTTGTTAGTAAGGTCAGTTAGGATAGATAGTGCATGAGCTTGGGATTCTGATGTAACAATGAATAGGCATGAATAATCAGAGTGACTGCAAAAGGTAACTTTGCCTACTTGATTTTTGAGGCACTGTTGAAAGAGGAGGGTATTCTCAGAGTAAGGGGAAATCACAAAGAATCAATCCCACTTAGCTGGGCCAGAGTACTTAAAAGGTTTGCAGAGGTAGAGGCAAGTAGAAGGATGAGGGCAGGAGGAAGATGGGGAAGAGTAGTAATAAAGGAAGAGGAGGTAACAATT